CATAGACGAATGCAATTTTCAGTAAAAAAAAAGAAGCAACATAAAATCCGATAAAAAAAGAATACCGAAATTCTTCAAAGGAAGTTTTTAGAAAATAATTGCATGCAAAATGCATTTCATTTGTAAATGAAAAAAAAAAAAATATTTCGCTGATTATATCGAAGAAAACTGCATTAAATAAATAATAAAAAATAAAACGTTCATTCATTTCTGCAATTTTTAAATTTTTAAAAAATTTTTATTTCCCGAATAAACGAAACATTTTTTATTTATTGAATGATTAAGAATTTATTAAAATTATTTATTCATTTAAATTCTCAGTAAATAAAATGAATTTATTATTTATAAAAACTAATAAATTAAAATAAAAATAATAAAAATAAATTGATAAAAATTAATATTATTTTCCATAAGATGCGAGGAAATCTTTTTTTAAAACAATATCTGCGATAAATTTTTTAAATTTCATTGCGATTTTTAAAAGATTTAAAATAATAAACATATATTTTTTGAAAAAAGAGGAATATTTTTTATTTTTCATTAAATCGATCGATTATAAATTCTTTTTTTATTTATTTTCTTCAATTAATTCTTTTGATTCCAAAAGAAAAACACGAAATAAAGTTACAAAGCGAAAATAAAATTAAAATCATTAAAAAAAAAAATATTACAATTTTAAAAAAGTTGCTGCCAAACACTTTTATTTTATTGATGCATTTTTTTTTAATTCGAATTTTACAATAATTTCACAAAAAAATGAAATGTAAATTTATTTTATAAAAAATTGAATGTTAAAAAGCAAAGCAGTCTTTACGAATTATAATGTAGTGGTTAACTAATTTAGTTACCTGAAATTTATTTTTGTCGTTAAATAAATTTATATATAAATAAATTTAATTTTCGCTGTTGCAAAATAAATTAAATTCCTAGTTGTAAAGAAAATCCAGTTTTGAGAAACAAGTTTCGTCCAGAAATTAAAAATATTCTCAAAATTCTCCAATTCATGAAAAGTACGCTGCGACGGAAAGAAAGCCAGAAAAAAATCCACAAAATTTAAAAAAAATAGTACTTTTGTCAATTTTCATACACTTTTACATTTGCTTTATAGTTTTCGATAATACTTCCAGCAATTTTTCTAGTAAAATTTATTTCTCAGTTATCAATTAATTTACCATTTTCAGATGATTTTAAATCGAACCTCATATATTTCTTTTCTTTTTTATTTCTCATTAAAAAATTGTGTTAAAAAGCAAAATATTTTCAAAAAATTCAAAATTAAAATAAATCAAAATGAAAGTAATAAAAATAAATTAATAAAAGTAAATATTATTTTTACTATGATGGAATACTTAAAATTCGCTTTTTATAAAATAATTTAAATAATTTTATAAAATTTTATAAACGATAAAATTATTATAAAATTACTTCAATAGAAAATAAGTTAATGAATAAATAATTTTGGCGATAGAATATAAAATTTCTTTTTAATAATTTTCAGCATAAAATTTTTTAATGACTGAGTTTCAAAAATGTTTGCTTTTTTTTAACAATTTATTTTATAACGATTTCTTTAAAATCATAGAAAAAATTCGATGGATTTCTTCAATTTTCGTTCCCTTCTAATATTCATCATTTCTTGTATGGTTATTCGTGTTGTAATGGCTATAAGCATAAACTCCCTTCACGAAAGAGTCACGTGGAGAAGTTTCCAGTGACACCATCATATTTGCTCTAGCAAAGAATAAGAAGATTCGAACTATAATGATGTCGTGGTCGAAGTCAAAAGTTACGATTTTTCGCTACCGATCGACTTTCTGAGCATTTTCCTTTTTCTTCCCACATGCACATACTTATTCATCAAACAACTTGTCCACTCGATGATTATCTATTCTTTTGGCAAAAAAATATGTGGAAAAATGTAAATATAAATGAAAATGTAAAAATTGCAGCTCGATCAATTATTGCTTTATCCCTTCAAGAATTATCAAATGATTCGATTAGTTGAATGATAGATATTTAATATATTTAATAATAGATCAATATTTATCAATTCAAATAAATTTATAATATTCGATTTAAAAAGAGTAGATCAAAATTATAATAAATAACAATGAATTTATGCATTAATGATATTTACCAAATATTAAAAAAAATGCAGAAAGAATGCATCAAATGCAAAAATACAGTGATAAAATGGTGAAAAAAATAATATCTTTATTAGCCAAATGAAATCACATAGACGATAAATTAATAGGTAAGTAGATAGATTAGGCTGGGTAAAGCAGGTTGGTAAAGGAAAATAGATTGGGCTGGGTAAGTAGGTTAGGCTGGCTGGGAAAGGTTTACCACCAGTCGAAAATACTCAACAACAGTAGCCATTATTGTTGAATTAAATAAATGAGCTATTAATGAGAGAAGAGTTGAATTTGGACAATGTGCAAACATCAGCAATACAAAAGCGCTTTCGAACAATTTCATATTTTCATCTATTTGAAAGATGCGTTGCGGTTCGAAAATTAACAATTCAAATAAAAATTTATGAACAAATGAACGAAACAACTAACCCACGAAACTAACCAATTTTATTTATTTTATTTAAAATAAATTAATAATAAAGGTGAAGTCAGTTCAAAGTATTTCAACCTTTTATCACATCTTTTTTTCAAATAAAATCGATCCAAAATTGGTAATTTTTTCTTAAAAAAATAAATATTTATTTTCAGGCAAAATTTTTATTTTTTTAGATGAATAAAAATATTTTGTAACAAAATATTTATTTTACTTATTATTAAATCGTTTTGCTGCAGACTTTTCGCTATTTCATTTAAATACTTAAAATTTTTTTAAATTTTCACAAATATAATTCAGTTTCCAAAAAAAATTATTGCTTTAATTGATTTAAAATAATTTAAAATTTAATTAAAATATTATTTAAATATTTAATTTAAAATAAATGTAATTTAAAATATTTAAAATATTAGTTAGTAAATAAATAATAAAATATTAGTAATTTAAAATATTAGTTAGTAAATAAAAATAAATAAAATATTAGTTAATAAATCATTTCGAAAGAACAATGTCTTTGAGCTTATGAAATAGCTATCTTGAAAGTTTACTTTATTTTCGAAATGATTCAGTCAGAATCAACAAATCAACCTCAAACTAATAGGCGATTTGCAATATGGGCGACGGAATGACTTGTTGCACTCGCTTCGGAGGGCCTATGCCCAGGTCTGTCCCCGGCAGGAACAAACCTGTTTTTCAAAAGGTGGTGTTGAAGACTTGTCTTCTATCATCTATTACGAAGTAACTCTGGTAAATTCATCTAATCCTACAAATCATCAGAGCGAGCATAACTGAAAATGACGAGCGCTGCAAAAAAAAGTCAAAATGATTTTTGCGCGAAAAATTACTTTCAATAAATAATTTATGGAATAAAGAAAATCATCTTATGTGGTTCCCATTGGTGCAATTTCTAGCAAAACTCGTATCTTTAAGAAATCTTTTAATTTTTAATCAATCACCATTAAAAGAATCCGAAAAAGACTTTAAACTAAATTTGTTCAAAGAATATTATCGGAATATCACTATCGTTACATTCCTTGAAGCGTCATGGTTCGGTCTCCGCCAAAAAGTGCAAGGCGCTGAGAACCGAACTGAGCTTGCAAGTGACTGCTTGACAAAATTATACTGTAGCCAAGTAGTTGTTCGCTTTAAAATCACAATTACAAAGCCTTTACAAGACAAATAATAGTTTAAAAAGAAGCCACTGTTTGGCAAGAACGATAATTTTAAAGTGATCACCAAGCAAAAAAGCAAAAAAAATCACCAAGCAACGACTGATAAACGCATAAAAATGCACCTTTGGCGTGCTGTGAAACAGATGTTCACGAACTATATTGATCTAAAGGAAGATCTATCTCAAGTAATAAATCCATTAAAAAAGAAACAGATGTGCTCGGTTGATTGACGTTCATTTCCTATCCGTTTATCCAATCCCTTTATTTTAGCTGCAAGGAGAGTTTTTTTAAGAATTTCATCAGGAAATTTTAGTCTTTTCCAATTAATGTTGAAAGGCATTGTACCTATCGCAGAGGGAAAAAGGGAAACAATTTAGGGCCATTATTTATTTGAAATTCAGTGCCAATCCATCAAAAATTATGCCTTTAATTCTTTTGCTAGAAGCAATAGTTCTTTGATGCGTCGATTCTTTGATGCGCATAAATTCCAAAAAAACAGTAAAAGATAACTCGAATTATCGGACATGAAGGAAAGCATAACAAAATAATACAATAATACATTGTTTAAATAATGCGACATGCCGGAAAGAATAACTGAGAATAATGCGCTTCCAGTTGTTTGTTCACTGAGCTAGGAGAAGTGCAATGAGTGGTTCTAACCGATCAACTTGGTCGGAAGAACTGATAGAAATGGCTGTTCCCACTGATGAAAGTACAAAACAATCAATCTATCAAAAATCGTTAACCGTTTGTGCCAAATTATATCCGAAGAGAAAGAATAATTAACTAGAGATGGAGTCATGCTTTCGTAGTGAGTAAGCATGGATTCATCCATTAGGAACAGTAGGAATGCACTAATGCTGGAGACCCAATTGTGATTTTACACCCAAGCTGACTTTCTCTACAGTGCGACTCGGTGGACGCAGCCGAGAAGAAATGAATGGAGTTGGTTCTGCTGGCTGGCTTGACTGAAACATCAACAATAGGTAATTTAACCAATAGGTCAACCATAAATAATTCCGGCGCTATGGATGACTCAAAACGATTCATCATCCAATCTCAAGTAGGAAATGGAAGGGAGGCGGGGCTATCTCGGTGAAAAATCGCTCGTCTAGAACATAGATCTTGCTTGCAATGTCCTAATTCTACGACATCATAAAAATTATTGCGATTCGGCATTTCAGCATTCGGCATTCGGCGTGACCTTTCGACCTTCTGCTGCGAATTTTCATAAATAATAAAACAAGAAAAAGCAGGGAAATGCGGCGGGTAAATGCGGCGACTCTCTCCTCCGTGCAATTTTATTTATTCATTTATATTATTACTGCTAATGAATGTGATTATTGTTCGTTAATTGTTAAAACATTCCAAACTGTGAGTTTTATTGTTTTTTGCATTCTATTTTATGTTTATATTTCAAACTCGTAAACTTTTTTAATTAAACAATTTTATTTATTTATTTATAAGGTAGCGGAAAATTGGGAAATATAATTCACTTCTTATCCGTTCTTTCATTATTTCTGAATTGGTTTTTTAGGGTTTAAAAAAGACGGAAAACCAACATTTTGCCGGTGGTAATACGGAATGGGAAGAAAGAAATTTGGGGAGATTCGCCACAAGGTTTATTGATTGATGATTTTTGCCCATCCCATTGCTTTTTATACAGCGAAGTCAACGAGGTAGAGAATTATGACAGAGGGATGTTTCAGTGAAACTAGATTGATCGAAGTGATGGAATACGTTTGCAAAACGAAGAATGCTGGGAATGTTGAGAACAATGATAAATTTGCTCACGGAATCAAGGATGTCGAATTTAAGGTCTTATTTATTTTTTAAAGGTGGATCCGCATCTTTGGAAGATAGGTATACTCGTGCTGGAGTAGAAACTCCCCACATCCAGGAACCTTCTGGACCATCCTATCTCTTGTTTCATTTTCAATTTTAATGAATGGAAATTTAAATAAATCGATTATTTTGTTTTCATCTTCAAATGAAATTTTTAAATATTTCAAATAAAAATATTATTCGTTCTAAACATTTATTTCCATTAAAGTGTCAACAAATGGTTGAGGAAAATGAAGAGAATATTGAAAATTGGTATTTTCATAAACAAAATTCTGATCCTGATATGCATTTGTGGTTATGTGTAGAGAAATTACAAGTGTGCTGTAAAGAAGGATTCTTTGGGAAAAATTGTAAGCCATGCCCTGGTGTAGACAAAGGACTCAATTCATGCTTTGGTCGAGGAAAATGCCACGTAATTTTTCTTGTTTTTAAATTGAACAGAAATATACTTATTTTATTGGATATATTAAATGGAGTGTTTGGCTTACCCATAGGTTTTTCTCGAACTTTCACGGGGCATATTTAATTTTTATTAAGGGCGATGGCACTCGTGGCGGTGATGGCAAATGCAAGTGCAGTAAAGGATATGTGGGAATATATTGTAGTAATTGTGATGCCAATTATTATCCTATCCATCAGTCATCAACTTCAGTTGAATGTAAAGGTCAGTTTTATTTTTATAATTTTTAATTACTATAGATTATAGTTCTTCTAATTAATTCATTTAATCTCTATGTTTTGTAATTAATAGATTTTCGAAATTCATCTAATAATTTTCCTTTTGACGTTGGACTGAATAGTTTGGACACCTCTGTAGCCATCGGAGCCAATAATGATGAGAGCCGTTAGAAGAAAAAAATAATCTTATTCTTTAAATTTTAATTTTTTTAACTTTAAATTTTTTCACTTAAATGATTCGTTAAGCCACATAAAATTAAAAATGAGGAAATACCAAGCACTGATTCTCAAATTTTCAAAAAAATTATTATCATTGTTTAAATATTGTTTAATTCTTTTTTTAAGGCTTCAAAAAACGTTATGAAATCATTCAAGTTAAAACTACCTATTGATGTAAATAGAATTGTTTTAATTTTTTAATTTGAACTATAATTAAAAAGTAATTTGAAGTAATTTAATATTTCAGCATGTCATAAGTCGTGCATTGGTGGATGTACGACTGATGGCCCTACTGGTTGTAAATATTGCGCTAAAGGGTGGATTATGGATGGTGACGAAGGCTGTAAAGGTTTTCGCATTTCTGGATAGTTTTTAAATCTTATAAGATATAAGATTTGTAATAGCGTTTTCATAATTTTAAGATTATTTTAAGAAGATTCAAGATTATGAATTTTCAGATGTAGATGAGTGCTTAGATAAAGATGTTTGCATAGGTGAACACGAGATCTGTGTTAATACAGAAGGATCATTTGATTGCACTTGTGAATTAGGTTATTCAATGAATTCGAAAAAGAATTGCGAATTAAATTTTAAAGGTATTTTTTTAAATTCATTTCAAACTCTATAGGTTTATTTTATCTTTATTTATATTTTGTCTATTTCTTATCATTTTTTGTCCTTTTTTTTGAAATTTTTTCTAAAATTTTCTTTTCAATTCACAATTTTTCATTTTGATCATTTTGTTTTTCTTTGAACCTTTTCAATAAATAATTGTGTTAATTTATCGTCTTTTGTTTATTTCTTGTCTAAATATCTTGTTAAATAATAGATGTGTGGCACATAGTTTTCATTTATTTCCAACTGGTTATCTAGAAAGTTCGTGCTTTTTTTGAGGTTGCTTTTCTTTTTAAACGCACAATTGGGTGAAGTATAATGTATATAATGTACTTTCACCAAATCTTGGCATGTTTCATTTTCGTAGAGTATTAATAATTTTTTGTCAAATTTGGTATTAAAAAGGACCTCGAAGATGCCTCACCAGTCTCCTTTGAAGTTCCTTTCTTTGATGGCGAAAAAGAAAACGTTTGATAAAACTCAACGAATTGACTCAGATGAACTCATTTTTGGAGATTACTGTATCTTAAAATATGGTGGAGCGGAGTCATACATTAATGATTTGGAAATATTTCGGAAAATATCAGAAAATCAAAATAAGCGAGCCAGTGATGGTCAACAAAAAGTTCCATAATTTTATATGATACCATCAGACCGCAGCTTGAGGATGATAAAAATAAATATAAAAATTTATATAGTTGAATATCAAAGCCCTCTCTCATTCAGCATATTTTTCATTTATTTTTTTTAGATTTTCAAAAGAAATGTGGTCTTTCAAAATATGTTGCTGAAAATCGTATGAACTTTCTAAAAATCTGTCTATTGTGAAGACCTAATAATTAATCACTTTCTAATTTTTATCGGTTTTTAGTAAATCGATTTTAGTAAATTTTTTTTTATCCCTTTAAAAAGCATTTTTAAATAGTTTAATGTGGTTATATTTATTTAGCATCTTTTTGCGAATCCTTCCAGATATGGTTTTTGGTTTATCTTTGTTTGTTCATCGTAATACTGAGTTTGGATTTTGTTTCCATGTGCATTATTATCAACATGAGTTTTGTCATTTAGTGACTTTTGAACATTTCAGCATCACCGGTAAAACCGTGGATTTATCCAGCTACTTTTCTGCGTTACGTCGCACTATCGGGCCTTTTTATTTTAATAATACTTGTTGTTTGGCGACATTCTGTTTTTCTTTTTATTTTCGCTTTTCTTTGCGTTTGTTTAGCTATTTATATTGAATTCAGCGTTGATCACACGTTCTTATCTAATGACAATAGTTCGCAGTTTTTATTATAATTGTCTTTGGTATCAAATATGTCTCAGGCCATATTTTCTACAATTAAAATAATTTTATTGTTGGGGACACGCATTTGTATTTCAGGCGAAAGGTTTTAGCCTTTAATAGGTTTTAATCTAAATAAACTAAATTGAAAAAAATTTGTATTTTGAATGGAAAGTATTTATATTATTATGCTCATATTAAAAAGAAAGTGCTGATATTTTTTGCCTAAGATATACTCAAGAATGCCCGGTTAGAATAATTTTTGACTATTTCCTATTAATTTTATAGTTCTTCGATTATTCTTGCTAAATTTTTTTTTATTTTTAATCTAATCCTTCTTAAGGCATTTATTGTCATGCGCATATTCAGTTTCCTCATTTTCGATAAGAGATATTATTTAGGTTTATAACGCTTTAAAAATAATTTCTCTTTGACTTTTTTTAGTTTTAGTTTTTTTAATTGTTTTTGAATATTTCTTATTTTTGAAATTAAAATTATTTTGCTGAATGATAGGCAATAAATATTTTTATTAGTTTTCTGTCGTTTCATGAATTTATCAAAATTCATAACTCTTTTCCACTTGTAAATTGGTCTTAAATTTAAACGTGTATTTCATTTTATTTCATTTTTCAGAAAAACTATTCTTAAAAAACATAAATTTTGGTAAAATTGTTTTTTACAGAATCAACGCAGAACATTTCAAATAGTACTGTTGAAAATATTGCTCAATTGTCTGAATCATATGGACTGAATAAAAAAATTGATTTACCATCGAAAAATTTGGAACGGCAATCGCTTTCTGTTGACAAGCCAGTGAATCTTTTGCAGCACAGTTCCGCAATAACAGATTCAAGAGATCAAAAGACTGATTTATGACATTCATATTGGATTTATCGTCAAATCTTGAAGTGACATCTAATCCCATTCTGTTTTAAAATGGGTAGTTATAGTGCTTTGTTTTCTTTGTAAAAAGTTAGGTATTCTGTTGTATTGAATATTCACAAAATTTATTAACTTGGTTATTCTTTAGCGCAAAAAAAGCTTAAAACATTATGATTTGATGTGTGGTATATCTTGTGTTATATAAGTGATGTAATGTCGAATGGCTTTATTACGAGCGGGAAAAAGTGAAAGCGCTCTAAAATAATTCCAGCGGTTTTTTCCTGCAAATTATCTTTCAAAATGTATCCATAGTTGTGCACAGTTTATTTATTAGGAATTAGTGGTATTTTAAATAAAAAATTAATTTTTTAGAAGAATTGACCGTTTTAGAATAATGAGATTGTCAGAGCAGTGGAAATATGTCATCGCTTTAGATGGTACGTAGATGGGTGTTTCGATTTGTTGGTTGAATGATTGATTTATTTAAATTTTCAATGTGGAAAATGTTTTCATCTTTTATTTCATTTTTTTTTTGTTTCATTTGAGCCTAATGGTGAATGATTTGTTATCACACTCACTTAGTCTGAACTTATTTTGAATGGAATAATCTGTGTGTTGTTTGCTATATCATCAATCTCTCATTCACTAATGTTCATTGATAAATTTATCATAACATATAATTAGTTCGTACAATATTCATGTGACACATATACAATATTTATATGACCTCATGTTCCGCTAATTCCATTTTCGTTCTGATTTGTATTCGATTCGACACATTTCGATTATCTTAAATATTAAATATTGCTTTATTATCATTAAAGAATTTTTAAATTTTTCTTACAATCCTGTGAATTTTTATTAATTGCATTTAAAGAAGTCAAATTTTCATTTCTTGCGCGGTCGTTTCCGTTCTGCTATTCTCTATATTATTTCTAGAACATTGCGATTTGCTACAAGCAATTAAACTAAATCTCTTAATTTTTTAAAGCAAAGAATTAAAAATGCGAAATAAATTGTAAAGTAAGGTATGGTACATATTTTGTTTTTGTTGTTTTCTTTGTTGTCTTCGACATGTGTCATGACGTCACAAACCTGCCTGACTGTTATGAACCCACCTACAATTAACCCCAAGTGTCTGTACGGTGAAATGGTGAGTATCACATGTTATATAAGTAATATAAGTAATAAGTAATAAAATATTTCAATGGATTTTATGTCCCGATGAGGAAAACTATTTTTATCGAAATATTTCACTTCCAGTAATTCTTGTATTGTTCCTATGTATTTCTTGCAATTTATTCGTTGAATTTGATCAAAAAAGTTGGTATGGAAGGGGGGAGAAGAGAGGCGAATTTCAGTTCTTTCACGTGTTTTCTACAAATAATATATTTTATATAAATTTTATATATAATTGAGAAATGTGTATTCGTTCAAACTTTGTTTATTTTATTTACTGTTTTATTTTCCCTATTTATTTTGGTTTATCAATTCATTTCTACTTCCTTGTTTTATAATATTATAAATGAGAATAATTTAAAACATTCAATTAATTAAAGTTCACTGTTACTTTTCGTATTTCTCTTTTCTTGGTACTTTTTATTTTTTCTTTGTCAATTTGGTTTTTGGTTTAAAACAAATATTAAAGAATACTTTAAAAGGGAGGAAAATATATAAACCAATATTTTTCTTAATTATTCGCCGTCACTGAATTTGAATTTAGTAATGCCTATTGAAGACCTTGAGATTAGCGAATATTTGACGGGACAAATTATTCAAACTGTTCCTAAATGGTTCATTTGCTCTACAACCATTAGTAACGGTCACTTAATCATAACGCAACCGAGGTCATTTATGAATCCTTATCGTACATTTTTCCATTCTCATTTCCTATTTTTGAACGAAAAATTTTCAGCTTTTTCCATTCCTTCTAAAATAGTAATGAGAGAACGATGGTTCGACGCTGTGCTTCGAGTAAGATCGACTCGCACATTTATAAAATTTATTTCCAAAGGTTGATTGATAGATTTTCAACTCAAAATGTCGAAATATTTACTGGTAATAGAATCGCAATCTATTATCTGAATTCAATATTTAATTATTAATTATTATAATTAAAATAATCAGTTAAAATAATTATTTAATTCGTTATTTTACAAATTGATTTGGTTTCGACCTAAGGAACTTAAGTGTAGCTAACGCGATTTCCATGTTTACTCAGCCTAATTCGAGCAGAATACATATTCAGAATCAAATCTGGAATTGGCAAATTGTAGCCGCAAGTGATAAATTTTCGGGAAGTCCTATTGAATACTTCATTAATCAACTGAACGTTCTCACAGTTGAACTAGGTTTTTTCTAAGACCGAGAGAAATTGAATCTTGTATGATTTTGTTTAAGGTTTATCTGCACACCAATGCGCCACTCAAACCTTTAAATATTTGTTTTATCGGCTGTCACTGGTACTTTAAAAAGTGAAATCGAGATTAATCGTAATATTTTATATGACTTATGCTTCGGCTAATTTATCAGCTCCATATATTGTTTTTCGTAATTTTATCGTCTTCGTGTTTATAAATACTGAAAAAATTTATTAACAGAAAAAGAGTGGTTCTATTCCAATAATTATGCGAAAATTTTAAAATTCAGACTCATTTTTGGTTTTACAAATAGGTTTAACTTATTTCAGTATATTTCTTTCTTCTAAAATTTAAAACATTAAAAATGAAATCTTAAATATTTTTTGCCAGGTAATATTACCAAATGGGAATAGAATAGCTCAGTGGGTTGTTGCTCAATTGGGAGCGCCGATGCTGAGGCTCGTTTCTCCGCAGGAGTAAACCTAT